GTGTGAAACGTCATTCAGAGGAGAGGTGCTCGGCTCCACCTGGCAGATTCTAGGAAGGCTACCTGGGAGAGGTGGCATCCAAGATGAATTCTAAAGAACCAATGAGAGTTACCCAAGAGGAAGAGAGAAAAGGTGTTCTAGGTGCAAATAGCCTGCTGTATCTATATGTGTTCTGTGTCCCCTTGGGTATTCAGCTTTTGCCCTGAGCCAGTTTGCCTATAAGTCACTGGACAGATCCGCCCTTGGCAGGATTATTATACTCCTGGGGCATTTGGCCAGTGTCCACCTAGTCTGTTAAAAATCTCAAAACAAAGGTCAGTGAAGTTAACTTACTGAAAATGCGACAGTGGCGTACTGTTTGTGGATAGAGACGAGTGTGAGGGAGAATCCAGGCCAAGGGAGCACAGTCGCTCTCTGCTTGGTGATGCTGAGAGGTGCTGCTCAGACCTGTTTCCACCCAGTGGGAGGAGAGTGACCATCTAGGGCCTGTCCACAGGGGCAGGGTGGATGAGGGGAGTGAAAAATCACTTCCTGGGGAATGGCTGGCCAGCCTGGAGAAAAGCAGAATCAAGGCCCGAAATCAAAATCACAGCGTTGCCATCTCTGAAGCACGGTCAGGATCAGGAGTTGCTGTGATGTGTGGCCCCCAGGCAGAGCTAGGACTGTGAGGGCAAGTCTCGGAGAGCAGACTTTCGCTTGGAGTGAGGAAGACCCTTCAAAGCAGTTGCAGAATCGTGGAACGAGAGCTGGAGGGCACAGAGATTTCCCCGTCTGGCCCACTTGTTTTATCAAGACCCAGGCAGAGGATGGCACGTCCCTGGGGCTCCTTATTGAGGAGATGGCAAAACCCAGACCCGTTCCAGGGGCCCTGTCCTCCAGCCAGAGCTCTTTCCTTTCCCTGAGTCTGGGATTTTGTTAGGGAGTCCTAGAATGGAGTAATTTTATAGAATCTTTGATGTTCATTGAGCCAAGGTTGTCTTTTGTTTTACACCTCAGAGTTTTACATTTCTTTATGTTTGCAGCAACAATTAAACTGTAAAAGACACGCATACTTCCCTCAATGCAGACCTAGAGTCAGTTGAGGAAGAATGAGCATTTGGGGCTGAGGGGAGTAGAGCCCAGGAAGCAGGGTGTGGGGACCAGCTGCAGCAGGAGGTTGGCGACCCTACACCCAGCTCTCCCCCCCAGGGGTTGTGATACGGGAGGGAGGCAGGACCGCTCTGTGATTGAAGCAGTTCCCCAGCCCCGTCTCAAGGATGCTCTCAGGCCCACAGCCAGGGAGTATTTTCAGACTGGACTTTTTTGGCAGCCTAATTTTCACCAATAGGACTTATTTTCTTTATGTATCATCCAAATCCAAAGTTGGAAATAAAGAAAAAGAAAGAATGCACTTTTTTAAGAGAATCCTTTTTTTTTGCACTACAGCAAGGAACCAGTATTATTCTGCAGGAAAAGGGGCTCTTTGTTTTATAGTATTTTGAGTCTCTGAGAACAGAAAGTGTCAGCGTTGCAGGGTCCTTCGTCTAATACAGTGGTTTTCAACTCTAGTTATGCGTTAGTCAACTTAGGGAACTTTTAAAAATATGGCCACCCAGGGTTCACTCCTCAACCCCCCAGAGGTTTTAATATAATGGATCCATGTTGGGACCCAGGCATCTGAATTTTCTAGAAATTCCCTAGGTGACTCTAGTGCCTGGCCAGGACTGAGAACTATTTGAACCCCTGCGGTGCACTTTGTAGATGGAGAAACTGAGGTCCAGAGAAACGGAATCATCTGTCCAGGGTCACATGATATGTCAGTGGCAACCTACAGCAGGGCTAGCAGGGCAGGGAGGGTGGCCAGTGACAGACTCAACGCCACAGCCCCTCTCCCTCTGCTCTATTCTCTGCTGCCCCCATGAATCCTCTTTCTAGTCTGTCCGCAAATCCCCTGTTCCGCAGTCTTCACGTCTGTATCCAAATAAGTGGTCGATGTTCTTTGCACAACAGAGTTACCAAGGAACCCAAGAGTTAAAAGTTGGAAGTGCCCACCTATCATGGTCACCACCTGGCTGGGCCGTGGGTGAAAGAAAGAACACAGGGGACACCATCCTTCCCCTGCAGAGCCAGGAGGGGCCCTGGGCAAAGTGCAGGGGATGCGACCCTATGCTGCCTGGGACCTCAGAAATGAGACTTCAGGTTCCACCCAGGAACTGACCGGCTGGCAGGAATCATAAGGCTTGGGCACACCTAGGGCATGGCTGCAACACAGCTTCTCACATATCACCCATGCCTTGAGCCCACAGCAACTGGGGAGGAACAGTACTCAGGGACGCCTTCCTGGAAGAGGTGGATAGGGTTTGGACATGTTGGTTTGGTAGAGGAAGGGGAAAGCTACCTTCCAAGCAGAGGGACCATTGTGGGGAACAGTGGTAGTAAGAAAACACAGGGAGTGTTTGGGGACCTCACAAATAGCTCACAGTTACTTTTGTCGTGACTCAAATAACTACAATTTATTGAACACTTCCTGTGAGGCCCCAAGCCAGAAACTGCCTATAGTCTCCTCTTTAGTCCTCATAGGCACTCTGAAAGTTGAAATTTTACCGTTACAGCCATCCACTCACAGGTCACAGGCTAGAAGGGAAATATTACTGGCATATGGGAATAATTTTACCCACCCGGTAGGGCTGGGTGATGCTGCAGTCACTAAACTACAAGGTCAGAGATTATGAATTATTTTTTAATCTTTGTAACTCCAGCCTTCAGCACAGAGCCTAGAACATAACAGGCACGCAGTGTTTATTGAATGAATGAATGAAGTGATTAAACTAAGGGATTTGGTATAAACATCCTTCATCGCCCAGATGTCCAAGGTCAGCTTGGTCAAGGATGAGGACATAAGCTAAGCTTCCTCCACCTACGCTGCTGCTTTTGAGGGATTCTTTATTATGAAATACCTGGGCCTGGCATGCAGTAGGCTCTCAGTAAGTATGGGCTGAATGACCAGCAGCCCTGCTCAGTATGGGTGGGGAAAATGCTCTGAATTTAGAACTAGGGGAGTCAAGTTCAGGCACCCGCTTGGTCGCTGCCCAGCACTTGGCTCTGAGCGTTCACTTAGCTGACGTGAAGCTCCTCCCTCACCTGTAAACTGGGGTGAATTATGCCTGATTCAAGGTTTGCTATGGAACCCTGAATGCAGGAATGTGTGAAGCCCCCCACCCCACCCAGCCTCCAGGCACTGCCCCCGGGGAGAGATTACGGCAGTTATGGTCATTGCAGGAAGCGGTACCATGGGATGGATGGTACAGCAGGTGTATGAGTCAGAGGGTCAGGCTGCGCGGCTGGGGGCGTGGTGAGTTGCCAGCCGCACCACCGCCTGGCTCCTGATGATTTATTCCAGGCAGCCTGCATATTTCATGTGCTGCCTCCCCACACCAAATAAATAAATCAGGGCCTCCTCCGCTGAGCAGTAGGAGCTGATTACGGCTGAGACTTCAAAAGGCCAGAGCAGGGATGCTGGAGCTCCCAGCAGAGTCTGCTGATGTGACATTTAGGAGCTGGGTGACCCCTGCAAGTGACAGCCGCCTACACAGCATGAGGCCTCCCAAATGGCAGGGAGACCTTTGCAGGGAGAAGGAAGTGACTTTTACAGCCCTGTTTTCCACCCCACAGTTAAAGGAACGCAGGCAGAAGTGTGGCCTATAGGATTCCCTGTTCCGTTTCCTGAATCCTTATAAGGAACCAGCAGCACACCTGCGTCTCTGCAGAGACATTCACTTAGAGCCGGAGGCCCAGCAGGCAGCTCCTCTGGCCACGTGCTTGGAATTCCTGCTGCTGTGTCGCTTTATAACCCCTGGGCATTTTGAGAACCAGGGTCTGCAGCTCTGGGTACCTGCCTGCCCCGCCGGTGGGCAGGTGGGCACTCCTCTCTGTAGTTATTACACTCAGGAGGCACAGGTGGCCTGTGGAACTCAGCCCAGAACTGTCACCTCTCAGGGATCCCATTAAGGCAGCCGCATGTCAGGGAAGAGCACGGCTGTGGGAACAGTCCTGGGTTTGAACCTGGACTCTGCTCTTAGTATCAGTGGGGCTTTGGGCAAAGCCACAACCGCCTGAGCCTTGGTTTCCTCATCTGTAAAGTGGGACTGAAACCACTTAACTGCACACAACTGTGAGAACTAAACAAGAAAAGACATCTAAAGGTGAATCCCCTTGGCCCCTCCCTGCCCACTCGCCACCTTGTCCAAGACTGCGCCACCCTGGGAGCCCCACTCTCTACTCCTTGCCTTTGGCTCTTTGCCTCTAACCCCACCTTTCCCTGATTCAGCTTCATCTGTCATCAGTATTCCCTCACAAGCCTTGAATGGATCCTCTGTTCAAAGGGTTTCTTGTCCCTGTCTTGGTGGCATGTGGCATTGCTGGCCAACTCCCTTGTGAAATTTTCCCTTTCCTTGGCTTCCAGGATGCCCACTCTGTCGTGGCGTCCTGGCCCATCTTTCCCAGTCTCTTGTAGCGTCTTTGCTCTGCCCACCCCCAGGGCCTGGATGGGGTGGGAAATAGAAATGATGTTCAGTAAGGTGGGAGGCTTACTGCCAGAGGGATGATGTGTTTTTGTCTTCAAGGCTCTAGGGCTCTCCTGGGGCAGGGGGAGCAGAGTGGTCCATGCACTCCTAGAGGGCAGAGCCAGATGGCAGAGGAAAGTTACAGAGAGACCATTCAGCTAATGACCCTGGAAAGACTTGGTAACAGGCAGAGAGTCCAGTTATGGGGGGGAGTAGGCTCCCCATCTATACATGTACAGCAAAGGATGGGTGACCAGTTGATGAGACGACGTGAGAGGGTATTTGTTCCAGCCCAGATCAAGGTGAAGGTTTTGTGATTCTACCTGGAAGAGGCACTGGGGAAAGGAAAAGCCTGCAAGAATATAGCCAGAGCCTGTGGGGGAGCAAGAGCTGGGACAAGAGCACCCAGACAAACACAGGACTTGGATCTAACCTGCCACTGTCTCTTGCTCCCCGCAGACAGCAGGGAGGTGAAGGTGGGAGAATACAATGCTGTGGCTGACACACTGGAGATCATCAACGACACCATTAAGTTCCAAGGTAAGGCAGGTGGACTTCTCAGAGGAGGGGGCCTGCTCAGGTGCTCCCAGGCCTGCATATTGTTGAGGGTTGTGGATGAGCTCAGAGTCCTTGGCTCTGTGGGGAAGAGGGAACATCCTCTCCTCTCAATCCATGCACTCGCTCACTGAGGACAGGATACCATCACCACATGGGAGCTGGGTTCCAGCCCCTGGGATGGGGCACTCGAATTTGCATGGAGTGCTGGCTCTCACCAAAGCGTCTGTGTTTAAACTGTTGAATGGCCAGAAGTAATTCTTTTTATGTGTGGCCCAACTAAATTTTCCTGTGTCACCTCCTCAGAAAAGACATGGATGGGCTGGTAATAAGGCCTCTCCACTTGCTGCTCTTCCTGGAAAACCATTCCCTCTCTTCTGCTGGAGAACTTCTCCTCAACATCGAGACCCAGATCAAATGACACCTGCTCTGTTCAGCCTTCCCTGATGCCCCCCAACTGAGTTAACGGCTCTCTTCTCTTTGCTTCCACAGTCTTTTGTCTCTGCTTTTCTTATGGCCTCTGTCTCTTTGCATTGAAATTAGTAGGTTATTGGACCATGAGCTCCCTGACTGGATCCTATTTGAGTTTAAATTCCTGGCACCAGCCAGGGTCTGGCACATGTTGGGGGCTCAGTGATACGTGATGAAAAAATAATACATGATTGATCAAGTAAATGAATGAGTGGGTGGGTGAATTAAATGAATGAAAGGGTGAGCATATGAGTCAGTGAGGAACTGGGTGGATGGATGGGTGGGTGGGTGGGTGGATGGATGGATAGACGGACAGCCTCATCACGGGGTGGCTGTGGAGGAAGCTGCCATGCCCATAGCATCCAGATGCTGCTGCTTTGAATCCACTGGGAATGCAAAGAACAGACAGCTGGCTTTCTGCACCTGGAGCTCCTTCTTAAATCCAAGGCCACCAAAGAAGGCTCTCCCATGAACCATTTGGTTAGATTTTGGATCTGTGGGATTCCAGAAAGCTCCAGGTGGCCTCAAAGAGGAGGTGTGGTCTTCACAGTCCCACCTGAGGGAGCTGTCACCAAGACCGTAGTCATCTATTACCTCATGGAGCCACAGAAAAATTCTGAAAGTGGGTGGATAAGTCCTGTCATCCCTGTTGTACAGATGAGAAAAGGGATCAGAAAACTCCAAATTCACACAGCCTGTGAGAGGCAAGGCCAATTCTAACCATGGGAGTCTGATCCCCAAGATAGGGCTATTTGCTCCTGGACGCAGGAGATCTGGGTTTGCTGAATAAGAATTCTGGGTTTACAAATTGAAAGAAAAATTCAAACAAAATAAATAAGAGACACAAAACAGAACTGAGAGGAAAAACATAAATAAAAAAAAAACCCAGCCAGGAAAATAGCTAGTTATAGTTAGGAAGCACGAGGCCAGGATAACACTGAGGCAGCAGCTGTTCCAGGCTTGCCTCCTGCTTCTCAGAGCTTCCCTGCACCGCCCGGAGGGTGGATAACCAGTCTCTGGACCCAGAGCCGAGCCAGGACACCTGGGCAGAACCCAGCTCTCCTGTCCACACCCTGCCTGGGTTCAACTCTCACCCAGACCCCTGCACCAGCCCCCCATGGGTTTTACCCACCCATCACCAGTCTAACCCCCTCAAGTCCATTCTGCCCTCAGTTGTCATGTCACACTGAAGAGGCCCACACAGTCCCCATTGCTCACAGCGAGGGGCCTCTCCCTGGGGTGGTTCTAAGACCTCCAGGAGGGGACCCCACCCCACTTCTCTGCCTGCTCTTTCAGGTCTCCCCAGCCAAACTGCTGACATTTCTGCAAATGTGCGGAGACTTCACCATGCCTTCGCCTGTGCTGGGCCGTCTGCCCAGAATGCCCTTTCTTCCATGTCTTCCTAGTAAACAGCCAACTACTTATCTTCCTGTCAAGACTCAGCTCCCACATCATCTCCATTCTGTAGCCTTTCCTGACCCCATCTGGCGGAACTGCACTCGGCCGCCTGTTTCCTGCTCAGGCCTCCCTGGGCCTGATGTTCGCACACCACCTGGACCCCATCGCTAGAGGCACTTTGCATAGTGATTAAGGCACAGGCTTCAGGACTAGGCAGATCTGGGTTCAAATCTGTCCAGCTTTGCTACTTACTAGCTATAAAAGCCACTTAACACCTAAAAAAAAGTTCCCTCACCCCATAAAATGGGAGTAATCTTCTCTACCCATGAGACTCTTAGATCAAGTGAGAAAATCTCTATTAAAGTGCTCAGCTCATGGTAAGCATTCAATAAGTGTGCTTGCTACTGCCTTTTTTTTAAAAAAAAAAACATGGCTAGTGTGTAAGTTCCCTGAGGACAGGAACTGTGTCTTGCTTATCTTTGAATCACTGGTGCCCCACACCAGGCCTGACAGTTGGAAGGTGATTATCAATGATGATGCCCATCATTAATGAGGATGAATGAAGGAAGGATGGTGATGAATGGATGGATGAAGAATGAATGAATGGATTGGGTGGGGAGCAAGAAACAGGACTGCTGCTGTTACTAACACTTCTGATGAGCTGTTACCATTTGGCTTCCATAATGACTTAGCTAAGATGCACAGTGAGAAGGTGCCATTTTGGGGGAAGACAAGGTGGAAAAAGAGATGCTGATTTTCTGAAGTTGTTTCTACACAAACTAGTGGTTATAGTAGTCACATAACCTTTGATCCAAATCTAGCCCCCTTGCTTAGTGCCCAAAGAGGAGCTTATTTCCACCAAGAACTCATGGGCACTCACAGCTCTTGTGTTGGGGATCCAGAAGGTGCCTAATGCAGCCCAGGCTATGTGGGGGGAGAGGGGAGGAGGACAGGGAGTGGGAGGAAAAATGTCCAGGTGTTGAGCTTTTATTTCTGGAAGCAAGAGATGGTGTTACCTGTATCACCTTGAGTCTGCTTTTGCCCTGACTTGCGGCCCTTGAGGCCACTCTTACAGTGTTACTTTGCATGTAAGTGCTTAATGCTTTACATTAACCAAGCCAGCGGGTTTCTAGCTGTTTTTGAACCTGACAGTTCCCTCTACTGCTTAGATGATTCAGACTCTTTTTATCCACTGATTGTTTCCAAACACATTTGAACTTGCTAGCGGAGTTTTTTAAACAGATGTGCAGGGGAGTTCTCAATCCCTGCCACCACATCTGCCCATCCTCTGCCTGTCTCCTGGGAATGGAGGCATAACCTAGGTTGGCACCCGTGGCACAGCTGTGGTGGGGTCATTGTGACCCCTGGTGGGTCTCCCAGGTTTGGCCACTCTTGAACATCTGACCGATTCCACACTGGAGGGAAAAGCTTCAAAGTGTCACAGTTCCACAGCAGAAACCTGACCTGAAATAGCAGCTGAGAAAAAAGGGATCTGCAAGAACCAAGAGGTGGGCAGGTGAGGAAAAGGGTGTCCCTGCATCTTTCCTCCCAAACCAGCCTGTACCTGGTAAATCAGGACAATTTGCCACCATCCATAAAGATGAGTTTGCTCTGAGGCCCTCAGGTCTCCCCCAGGTGCCCTTGAAGAATGAGCAGAGACATCTCTACAGTCACACAGCGGGATGGAATCCCACAGTTTCTGTCCAGTCCTGGCACAGCAGGGAGGGGAAGGCATGCCAGTAGCTTCTGCCTCCCACAGTAAGTCTTATGAAAATGGAAAACCAGAAAGAGCTTTTATAGCATAATGACCTTGAGGCAGAAAATCCGCAGCCAGAGCACATATATGTCTCCACGGAATTGACAGGCAAGGTTTCCACCCTGTTGAGGGGTGGCCATTATCATGTGTTAGCGCAGAGTCCTTGAGAGCCCAAGCCAAGTTCCTCACCCCAAAGACAACCAATGGTACCTACTCACAGCACCCAGCCCTGCGCCTTCTAAGCCACTGGTACCTTTGGGGAATAAATGGCGATGGGTTTTCAACATGGTAATTAGACCAAATTCTAGTCTTCTAATGGCGATTAAATGCATCACAAATCCCTTATTGATTCTGTTTAGAGAAAGAAATAAGTCCTGGCTTAGGCTCCCTACTGGCCAACCGCTGGAGCCCGCTCACCCAGTGACGTGTCCTGCACAGTTTGTGCACAGGTGGCGGGTGTCAAGGGCATCCAGGCAAGGATGTTCTCGGGGACTGACTGTGCGCTGAGCTCAGCTGATGCCTTTTTCTTGATCTTCTAGGATCTGAACCACCAAAAGACAAGACCATTGTCCTGGAACAGCTTCGTAAGATCTCCCTACCTCTCTACAGCATCCTCTCCGCCCTTACCATCCTGGGAATGATCATGGCCAGCGCTTTTCTCTTCTTCAACATCAAGAATCGGAATCAGAAGTAAGTCACTCATGCCCTCCTCTTGGATAGTGCTTTCTGGGTAGACAAGCCTCACAGACAAAGTGTAGGAGCATCACGTAACACGTTCTCCAGGGGCACAGAAGTTACTAGGGCAGTTTCTCCAGGGACACAGAAGTTACTAGGGCAGTTTTCCAAAGTGTGCCGCTTAGTTACTGGGATGTCATTAGATGTTTCATGTGAGTGTGTGTGTGCACGAGCGTGCGCGCGCGCACACACACACACAGGCAGGAGCACTGCTTGCACAGGAAGTCTGGCTTAAACAAAATTGAAGGGTCCAAGTCCACAGGTCTTCTTGGAATTTTGGCCATGCATGTGCACTGTGTGGTGGTCCAGGAGGAGAAATATAGAAGCAGAATTCCCCAAACGTCTTTTCCCCACCCACCAGCATCTTCAGGAAGCACTGCCAGAGGGAGATCACTGAGTTCAGTAAGGACACTTCCCATCCATACAGCATATCACAGCCCAGGAAGCGCCTCCTTCATCATCTCGGTTGACCCTCGAATAAGACCGCAATTGCACATGAGAGTGCCGGCTCGATGTCGGAGGGCTGGAGAGCCCTGTCTGAGACCGCACTGCTGCGTGTAGCAGAGCCTATCCCCTGGGTTTCTGGCCTTGATCCCTTTTCCCCCACGCGTGCCCTTCCCTCTCCGGAGGAGACCAACTCGCTTTCCGAGTTATTCTGGCCAGCCATGGGTAGTACGGGCCACCTCCCTGGGCAGTGGTGTTTGCCGAGCACAGCCAGCTTCTTTGGTTTCCGTAGAAATCCCTGACCCCTGCTCCCTGCCTTGTTGTGGGAGTGGCTGAGCAGGGCTCAGAGGGTGGGCCTTCACGGGGGAGAACAGCCTCGGTGCCCCCCAGAGGCGGCACGGCTCTGCTGTCGTGCCCAGAAGGCACACAGGGCGACCTCCTGGGCTGCAGGGACGAGCGCGATCCCAAGAGAAGAGGTTTTCCTTCTCTCCCTGCTTGCCAAGGAGGAACTTGGCGGCTCTAGAGCTTTTGTTGTCATTTTGGGGTTTGTTTTCTTTTTGGTTTTGGTAGCAGCTGCTTAGGTCAAACCTGTTTGCTGAAGAACAAAAAGTTGTATTCACCTGTAGTTTTATTTATCACCGATAACACAAATATTGCCTCCAAAAAAAAACTGAAGCAACTCTGATCTACTCCGTACAAGCCTTAAATGATGACCGTGCCTGTTAGCACTCGACACAAGGCCCTGGGCACGTGGTCAGCTCTTAATGTTAGATTCCCTTCCTGCAAGCTGCAGTAGTTTTTGTCATAACAACAAGTTGTCCCTGTCGTTAAGACTATACTCCTTTAATTCCTAACTACCCACTCTTGGCCTCCTGGGGGGGAATTACCATTACTCTTTCCAATAGGCTGGCTTCCCTGTGAATTTTTTTTTCAATAAATTTATTTATTTATGTATTTATTTATTTTTGGCTGTGTTGGGTCTTCGTTGCTGTGCGCGGGCTTTCTCTAGTTGCAGTGAGTGGGGGCCGCTCCTTGCTGCAGTGCGTGGACTTCTCACTGCTGTGGCCTCCCTTTGTTGCGGAGCACAGGCTCCAGGCACGTGGGCCTCAGTAGCTGCAGACGCAGGCTCAGTAGTTGTGGCTCACGGGCTTCAGAGCACAGGCTCAGCAGCTGTGGCGCACGGGCCTAGTTGCTCCGAGGCACATGGGATCTTCCCAGACCAGGGTTCGAACACTTGTCCCCTGCACTGGCAGGTGGATTCTTAACCACTGCGCCACCAGGGAAGTCCCTGTGTGAATTTTTTGACTGGCTTTTCAGATTAAAAAATCTACAAAGAGATAGGAAATAAATGTCACTGTGGTTTCAAATCCCCCTCTCTTCTATCTTCCTTAATGCTACTCATCCTTTAAGGTCTACCCCATCCAGGAAGCCTGCCTCAGTTCTGGCCTCTCCCCTCCTTGCTTCCTATGGTAATAAGAATGAAGGGGCCTTAGCGGTTCATGGTTTATGAAAGGACCTTCAGGGACCCAGTTCCCTCTCAGCTTCACATGTGTCCTAGGCAGTGGTATATGTGCTTTTATAGGTGAGGAAACTCAGTCGGCTAATTGACATGCCAAGGGTGTACCTCATGAGGTCACAGGGGTGCTTGCTGGACTCAGGGCTTCCAATTCAAAAGCCCATGAGGGGTCCACAATTTACAGCCGGCTTTTTATCTCTCTACTACTTTGACACTGAATTTTTAAATGTGAAGGGATTAATAGAACTGCAGAATGCAAAAGAAAATGCTCAGGGAACAACTGACCATAATTACAATCTGCAAAAGAGCACCTGGACCATGGGGGCACCTGAAAACCCAAGACATTCTGAACAGATTGTGCTGGGGGAGCCAGACACATCTGAGAGTAAATTCCAGCTGGCTGATGGTTTAACACAGCCTGGTGAAGACAGGGGGAGGATGGGGGTGGGGACTCCATTGTCCATCTCCATCACCTGGTACCGGGAGGTACCATGCGCGTGGCCCTCTTTGTGCTCAGGACAGTCCATCACTGTGGAAGGTTGCTGAACATAGATTAGGATTCTCTAGATTTGGCTGTCTTCCCAGCTCCAGCCAAAAAAAAACTGTTGACTTAACATCTTTGTGTAAACTAAAAATTAATGGTTGAAGAAGCCGGCAATACAAGCTGTCCCCAGAGAAGTGATAGGTGAACTTGACTGAGAAGACAGGAAAATCAACAACTAGAAATCGATAGCATCGCGGTCCTATAGTGAGGGGGAAACAGCCCATCAGAGGAAGCACAGTCTTGGGGAGGGGGCAGTGAAGGAAGCCAGGGTTTCCATTCTTCTCTCCCTCTCTAGCCTTGGTGACAAGATATGCATTCAGAAAATATTTGCTGCAGGAGTAGCTAAATTAACAGTTCTGCTAACTATAGTATCTCTTTCTTTTGTCAGGCTGATAAAGATGTCAAGTCCGTATATGAACAACCTTATCATCCTCGGAGGAATGCTTTCCTATGCATCCATCTTTCTCTTTGGCCTGGATGGGTCCTTTGTCTCTGAAAAGACCTTCGAAACCCTTTGCACCGTAAGTCATTCTGCGCATTCCAGTGGTTTGTGATACAAGGTTTTCTTGGTGACCACAATCACCAAAAACACAGATACAAACCCAGAACTGCGTGAAAATACATGAACAGGCAGCAGACAACTTGTTCAGCCATTCAAGCAGTCCAACAGGGCAGCGTGGTATAGCTTTCAGACCAGAATGGACTTAAGTATTGCCTGTAAAATTAAGAGCCTGGATTTAACAGGCTGTTGCTAGAAGACAGCCCACTGAGAATGATTGAATAACCTAGAAAAGCAAGGGAGAAAAATGCCCACCCAGGCACTGTGCCTGGGGTCAGAGTCAGGGCTGTGTAAGAAGGAACAAGTCTGCCCACCAACCTTGACGGCCATCACAGAATATAAGGAGAGATGTTTGTATGGATGACTTTGAGTTGTACAGAAAAGATCGCTTTCCTTATTCTCTATTTAACAGCAGTGTTTCTCAACCCTTTTTTTGCTAATTGCCCCCATAAGGAGCCTTTTTAGGCTTTTTTTCTTTCTAATTATCCCTTCTTGAAATTTCAATACCAAAGATATACTGTATTTCTGTTTATGTACTGTATATATACCTATAGTTTCTATATAAAAGAGTAATAATTTTTCACATTCAAGAACCAGTGTTGTCCCCCTTGGGAACTATATCACCCCCATTGAGAATGCATATATTTAAGGAAGCCCAAAACCGTGTAATTTATTTACTATATTTTAGCAATGTTGTTTTGAAAATTAATTAACATGTTTAAAAATGTTGTTGCCTAGTTATTGTTGTTATTAGTTGTTTTTCTTTTTAAGGAGTTTGTACGTTAGCAGTTAGCAATTGTGTAGAACTCAGTTGAAAGTATCATTGGCTTACTTTTTAGGATAAGGATGGCCAGTTGGGATTTATTTCTGGACTTTACTGTGATCTCTCAGAACTGTGTTAGACATGCAGTAATTCATCCAATTCCCCGCCTGGAGGACCAGAGCTAGAAGGGATGGTCAAAGGATCAGTGTTGACCAGATTAATCCAAAAGCAACTCTTTTGTTGTTGCTGTTTTCTATTAAGGTGTTAAGAGCAACGTAGGCCCTTTTTTGGAAAGCAGTCTCTTTTAGATTATATTTGCTGCTCTGTAGTCTCAGTGTCGCCCACTACTGGACGATCATAAAGTAAAGGGTGGCAGTGAGGATTAAACAAGTGGAGGACCCCTTAAATGTGCTGCAGGTCACCACCCACACCTTGGACTTTCAGGACTGCACTGGGTCTGTCAACTTAAAAAACATGCGCAACGTGAGAATCGTGAGTTAAGTTTTATTTGGGACAAAATGAGGACTATAGCCCGGGAGACAGCATCTCAGATAGCTCTGAGAAACTGCTCCAAAGAGGCAGCGGGGAAGGTCAGTATATATGTGATTTCGGTGAAGGGGGGAGTACGTGCAACCAAGCACAGATTTTTTGCAGGAGGTTACTGCTAGTCATGAGGAGCAGACGTTACCATGAAGGATTTTAGTGCTTTTCTAGATATGAGGAGATATAAGAATTGGAATCATAAAATTGGCTCCTAAAAATATCTAACTATCTGAAGACCTGTTCTGCCAGGTTTTCCCAGAGCACAGAGTGCCTCATTCCTGCTCTCCACCCTGAGCTCCTTTCAGGGGGTATTGAAAGTCAGCAGCTGCAGCAGCACATGATTTAATCCTTGTAGAGGTGGATGGCAAGTGCCAATTTGTAGTTGACAGATCCCCAGACTCTGGGACAGCCCGTGGACTGGAGGGAAGTCCCTGGAGCACGTGGTGATGCTCCCCTGATTCCTGCAGATGATGACACCGGACTGACTCTTGTTAATAGCCAGCTTCAGCATGAATTGTCAAGCAAATGAGATGTCCCCAGAACTCGTACTTTGTTTGAAAGGTTCCACTTGAGAAGTGCGTGTTCAAGTCCCCAATACCCCAGGGGGTCCCTGGGGTGCTCAGGCATCCTTCCTCTCTGGGGCGGACCTGGAGGGCAGTCAGGCCCCACGTGCTCCAGAGCTCACCTGATTCAAGCTTCCTACTCAGAGTTTTTTATTCTGCCCCGTTTCACTCTGCCCTTCTGGGGGTTAAGGAGGTGAAGTCGAGTCACAAGTCCCCCACGTGCCTGGCATCAGAGTGCCGGAGTCAGCTTCCGGAGAAGCTGAGCCGCTCAAAAGTCCCTGTGGGTGTGGGTTAGCAGTTTGTGCCCTCAGAAGTGTGACCCTCTGGCACAAGGATGGTGACCGCAGCTTGTGTCTCGCTCGCTAGAGACGGTGTGAAGCGCTTGAGGTCCCCTTCAGTTCTGCATCAGCACGACTTCTGTGCCCTGTGGGGCCTTGTGAGCTCATGGGTGCCATGTGTGTCTGTGATCAGCTTTCCTGGGCAGTAGTGTGGCCCGAGGGAGGGGCTGCTCCCAAGGCACCCTGAAGAAGCTAAGCGAGGGGTTTCCCTCTTCCCTCTGTCCCTGGGACGCCCTCCCCAAGTTTGAGGAGACCATGACAACGGCAATAATGAAAATGGCTCCAGGGGCCGGGTTGGTGGCTTCTCATTTACACGGCGCTCTGATCTTTTGGTGGCTCCCCGAGAGCTGAGGGGCCCACCTTGATCTACTGGCCGAGAATCACGGGGGCAGAGCTCCGCTTGGGCCCCTCCCAGCTCCTTGTCGCCGGCTCCTGCCACCTGGGAATGCATCCACTGGCCCGAGGTCCCATCTTGGGTGCAGAGACATGAGGCCCAGCCCTTGGAGAGTCTCTCCCTCCCAGAAGGGAATTCCTGCCATCTCACCATGCTCACGAGCCAAAGGCCGTCAGAGCACAGGTGCTTCCTGGAGTTTGCCCCGAATCCTACAGACACTGGGTGACGCAGGCTAGGGAGCCCAAACGAGGGCATCCCCACACCCGGGTGTTTTCTCTTAATGAAGCCTGACATTCTGTTCTGGGAGTCGTGCTCATTTGCGTGAGGGGAAGGCTGTCCTGGGAAGCCTGGCAAGGCGGTATGAATAAATCATAAAGCGCTTTACAAATCAGCATTAGCTGGAACATGAGGGCTCTGAAGATGTTAGGGCCTGGTTCTCCCCACCCTGAAGATTCATTTATTTGCAGTCGGGGCTGTTTCAGAGGCTCTGCAAGGGGAAGCCCACATTCGTGACTGTGGAGAAAAGGCATAGATTAACTAGTGTGGATTGAATTGGGTCAGCACAAATGTGTGCGTGGCTAAGACCGGGGTCACTTATTTAATCATCCCCAATATTGATTGCTCAGGAAGGGGAACCAAAAGCTCTTAAATTAAGAGCCTAAGTGCACCCCAGTGGGTGCAGTGTGGGTTGTCCACCTGCTATTCCAGAGGGGTTGTGGCTCCTTTGTTTCACTTGGCGCCTTGGATTGTGTACTTTCTGGGCCTAGGAGGCCCCCAGTGCAGTGAGCACAGGTCTTCAACAGCCTGGGTTTGACTCTCGCCCCCTACACGTACTACCTCCGGACTGTGGAAGTGACTTAGCCTCTCTGGGCCTCAGTTTTGTCGCCTGTGAAATGAGCACAACAAATCCCTATGCGGAACTGTGGTGTGGGCTAAATGAGACCATTCAGAGGAGCCACCTGGAGTGTAAGGCAAGTAACGGGGGAGTGGGCAACTTTCTACCTGCCACGGTATAATCTCCTGGTGTCCCACACTGTTTCTGTAGGAAATCTCACAGGACAAGGGACAAGGTGGATCATGAAGCCAGCTTCAGACGTGGAGCAAGAGAAAGCACAGTTCAGTCTGTTCTGCTGCCATATGAATGCCACTTTTTTCCCTTTTAGTTTTCAATATAGAAACTAAACACAGTGATAAACAGTAAACACCACCTCAGGAAGAAACCTGTGACGATCACGGGATTATGCCTCTCTAGGGGCTGTGCCTCTGCTCAGAAGGGCCGTTATAACTCGGACAGCGGGGTGGGTACATGTGTGAGCATGTGTACACACACTCACACACACACACAGAGCTAGGGAAGCAGTCACACTCAGTTCCCATCCCCCACTCCCTCTGACCCTTTCTGGCATCTTCCCAGCCTAGTTCCAGCGAGTCTTGCAAACAGCACGCAGCTATACCGTGCTGTCTCCCTGGACACTGAGTGGGTAGTGTAATCACCATAGCAACATGGCCCCTGTGGGCACGAAGCTGCCTATGAGGACAGTGCTGGGCGTGGGCCAGAGCCCCCATGCCAGGGGGATGGGAGGGCCCTCACACTCACTTATGCAGCTCAGGAATCCCAGCCCCTGGCAGCCCAGAGAGGGAGCGAGGTGGGTGGGGAAGAGAAAAGGTGCTCGCCTTCCTTGTGGAATCCTAGGCAGAAACCCCAGCAGGAGCGTGGAGGGGTAAGAAGGGACTCTGCAGTGAGGACGAGAAGACCCAGGTGGGCCTTTGATCCAGTGCAGGTCTCAACAGCTCCAGGAGCATTCAGGGCATTTCTGGGCGTGGAGGTGGTCAGCAGTACCATGTGAGCTCCCCAAGCCTGTGCCCTCATAAAATTCAGCATTCTCTGCTGTGATTTACCTTGGGCCAGCAGCCAGGTGAAGCCTTTCCTTCAAATCCCCATAACCACCTGACAAGGCAGGGTTCACTGTCCCCGCTTCACAGGAGAGAAAACCGAAACTCAGTCATACATGGCTAGGTGGCAGGACCAAAGTATGGAACTAGCTCTGTCGGACTACAAAGATGTCTGGACATTTCATTCATTTTTTTAAGAAATATTTTGATTCTTTGTTAGCGGGTTTATACCAGGAAAAACAGGTCAACTAAATTCTTAGGAATGTGGGCAATATTTATCTCAACCAAAATTTTTGTCTGTTCACATTTTTTTAAATTGGAATATAACTGGTATCCGCAGGGGATTGGTTCCAGGAAACCCCGCAGATACCAAAATCCGAGGATGTCCAAGTCCCTTATATAAAATGATGTAATATTTGCATAGGTTATAAGCAATCCTCCCATATACTTTAAATCATCTCTAGATTA